CCCCCCCCCAATCAGTAAGACGAAAGAAAAGGAAAAATATCAAATCAATTTTCACAGATTGTGACTTTTTCCGTGCTGTTAAAGACTTAATGGTGAAGGGAATCCTTATTTGCGCATGCTATTTCCTTGTTCTGCAAAAGAACTCTTAACGAAATGATGATTGTTGGTAGATAATGAGATCTTTGAGTTCTTTATATTATACATATCTATCATAAACCAAAAAAAATGTCATTCATGAATGGTATTATAAATTTTTCACTTGCAGTGGATGTTTCTGTAACTCAATCAACTGCCATTAAGAATGTTGACTTCAAAGCAAACTCGGAGTTGTCATCAAATGGCATAACTTGTGGTAGTCCTCCTCTTTCCTCAGTCAGACTTGATGATCGGAATAATGAAAGGCACAGCCATGAGCAGCAGACTCTAGGCAAGACTCCTTGTTTGGGCCCTGCTTCCTCTGGTGCTCCAATTACCTCAGTCTCACGCGTCAGTTCATCATCAGCTCCAGCTGATTTGGCGCCTCCACGAAGTTCAATTCATAATGCTAATACGAAGGTAAAGTGAACCTAGTGGGTTCAGTTGCTGCAGGTGCATGATCAAAATTTTTGTTCATTCATATACAAAGTTATATAAGCTTACTTTTTCAGTAGGTTTATGGCGATGTCAAGCTTATCGTGGTACTTGAGTTTTTGGAAATTCTTATCCTTACTCCTGTATTATTCATTGTCTAGGATGATTTGTGACTGTTGATTTTCCTTCTCTCTAGGAGTCTAAGCTCAACCCTGGGGCAAAGATATTTTCTCCATCGGCTTTGCATCATAGAACTGTTACTCCTTCTGTGATGCCAACAATGGCGTACATGCCAGATTCCTGTCCTGTAGTACCGGTGGCTACAGCTGAGCCTGAAGTTGAAATCACCCCTTTTGCTTCTCACCCATCTGTGCCAGTTAAGTTTGTTCCTTATAATAATTTGGCAGCTGGAAATGGTGGCTTGGACGTACAATATGCTCAACAGGTATGTGATTATAATTATCTATCTTACTTTGAAAATGCAGCCCCCACCCCCTTCTTTAGTTTTCTGACAACTAGAGTTATTTCTCTGAGTAACTGAGAATATTCCATTGATTACGAAATCCTTTTGGTTGATTGACTGCCATTTTCTGTACCTAAATCAACCATCTCATATTGACCGGAAGAAATGTGCATTACTAACATAACCACATCGCACTTCCATAATTTGGTGTTTGGAGACTAGCCCATCGGTTTGAATGGAAGCTATTATGCAATTCTGTGCTTCATCTAATCTAATTATGTCACTGATATGCATTTAGGAAAAGGCAATTGATAAATATGTTGATAAAAACAAAAGGAAATGAAAAGTTAATGAAAGAAAAATCTATCTTATACAATGATTTTCCATAAATCATGTGCTAATAAGATATATTTTCTGTTGTATAAAGAAGTTGAAGGTAGAAAAAAATAATTAGGGTCTGTTTCTTGATATTATAGTATGCAGTTTACCAAAATGCTGCTGCTTTCTTAGTTAGAAATGACACTTGTCAAATGCCCTTTCAAATTAGTTGTTACAGCTTAATATCAAACAAATGAAATCAATCACATATATTATTTTACATCATACTTACATAGAATCATTATTACTGTTTTGATGCTGCTGCATATTTTTCTGAAGCCTTCTTTGTTAACATGTAGACTATTGGATACATGGGAAGCAGGAATCAGCAGGCTAGGTATGCCGGTCAGTATCATCAGATTCAGGCTGCAACCGGTTATGTGCATCCAAATTCTCAAAATGTAAGGGAAATTAGCACGGCACTCTCTTGCTGAAGCCATTTACTTTGTTCGGCTGGAAAGAAAACTCTGCCGCCTAGTGGTGGAGAGTAGAAGAGAGTCCTTGAGTCTTATCATGTCGAGGGTTGTGGCCCTATTATTAAACTGATGTCCTTATGACAATAGCATGCCATCTTGTTATTATTTTTGTGCTTGTAAGACGGTTGCAGATGTTAATGTCACTTCTAAAATTCTTCATGTTGTCAGGTTATGTTTGGACGGTTGGGACCACTTGTTTATATGCATCCCGTTTCTCATGTAAGACGAATTACTTTGTATAGTATTTTGGGACAACTTTTATGACTTTTTATAGAACTTGGATGGCTCTTTATCACATTCCTCCATTTGCTGTTCTTTGTGTGTTTATAGCATTGCAATTTCCTGATCCTTTTCTGCCTGATATCATGTCTATAGGATATTGTTCAGAGTGCAGTGGGGTTCTCTCAAGTATCCACACGTCCTCTATTAATTCCACATCCGGTCCATCCTCCTAAGCATCAAGGTATGTGTTTGTGGACATTTAATGGTATAGCTAGAAGTGGTCCAAATGTTTATTAGGTTTGAATGGAAAGTCTTGAGTTCAATTCAATATTCAGCTACTTATTTTCAGAGGCACGAATGCATAATGCTCTACTGTCTGTTTTAATGTAACGACTGGTTAAATGCAATTGGTTCTAATATTCTTGGGCAAGTGACCTTTTTGAAAGCGTTGGTCATGAGTGAGATAATTGTCCCACCAGCCTTTTAGCTGACCAGTAAATCCGGCTATAATCATTTCAGCAATTGCCCTATCCGTATTTTTATTAACTTTACATATAGTGCTGTACATAAGCATTCTATGTACTGTCGTATAGATTTGTTTTTCGGCAAGACCATCTATGTTCCATTCATAGATATCTGACCCACTATAACCTTGGTGATAGTGGTCATTGTCCTGTTCTTCTATTAGGACATCTTGAGGTGTTGGTCTAGGATAGTAAAACATTTTTTGGTATGGTTTACGAGCATATTTTTCAGAGATTTTATTAATCTCATCGTTTACCTTTAGATTGTTAGGAGACGTATGCTCTAAGCTTAGAGGATTAGCTCTAAATTCACCAAACTTCTTATTGAGAAGTTCCTCAATGTCATCCAGACTTTTTAATTTAAAGTCTTTTACCTCAAGAGGTGGTTGGATACTTGTAGTAGCAATTTGCTCCTTACCCTTAGTATCCTTCTGCTGGATTTTTTGGACTTCAGCTATAAGCTTGTCCAATTTTTCATGAATCTTAATAACCTGTTCACCCAGAATACTTACATACATATTAGTATAATTGTTTTGAGTGAGCATGGTATTTAGATTCTTGGCTGTTATCGCAGCAACATCATTTTCAAATATATTTGAAAAAGCAGTACAATAAACAATTTTATCCTTGTCCCCTATTTGAAAAGATTGTTGTGGTGGGAAAATAGAATTAACAATTTTTCCACTAGTGAGCGTATAATCTCTTTCTAACACAGAAACATAGTTATAAACATGCTTAGACATAAACCAAGGAACAAAAGCAATAATTTTATTTGTCTTGCTAATATCCTCATAAAAATTATGTCTAAAGAATTGGATTAATTCACTATTCATGTTTTCATGAAACCATTTTCTAAAAACAGCCCATCTGAGTTTTAAAAATTCTTCTAATATCATTTTTCATGCCGGTGAACCCGAACTAAAATCTATTTGGTTTTCAACCATTATTAACACCATTTGACGATATTATCTTTACCAATGCTGATATTATCAATTCTATTATTTTCTCTAATTTGAGATGTGGAAGCTCTAGAAGGAAAATCTACCACATAATAAATTGGAGAAATATAAGAAGAATTTGATCTAGTTAGTCTAGATGATAAGCTGATATTATCAGTCTGCACGGGTTCATTGAACCTGATTTTAACAATGTCATCTGAGGTTTGTTGTATTTCTGTAACCTCAGTATTACCAGTGTTTCGAGGGGCAACCGCTTCCTCTATGACCTATTCCTTAGGGAAATCAATTTTATCCTATTTGATAGGTCTTCTGGTGGTTACTTTGGATTTACCAAAGTTGGTTTCTATAAGAATGGTTTCATTTTTGAAATCAATAATTTTGCACATAGGATTCAAAGTATATAAAGGTTTGAAATAAATCCTATAACAGATACATATAACTTCTGTACCAGGCAAATAATCATAATCATGTAATTTAATGCTGAGAATTAAAGCATTTAAAGAGTTCTCATCATTAAGAGAAGTCTGCAAATTGGGATAAGCATTAAAATAAACAGGGCCATAGGCCAAACTGGTTTGCGCAGTCCCTATAAGAGACTTTTTCCAGTTCTGGTTTCTGCCATCTCTGAGAGCTGCTATAAAGCTTTCAGGTAAGCCTTTAAAGTAAGTGGCTTAAAAGCGACTTTTTTTTTTGATAATAGTAACATGTATATTAAAAATAAACAGCACTAGGGCAGTGCCAAGCCATATTTACAAGGAACAAAAACCAGCTATGACAACCTAGGATTACAGTGCACCTATCAGGTCTACTAAAGATTCTGCCTCCTCAACATAACTTTCTTTGCACCAGAAATGAAACAATAGTAAACACTTCATCTTGATTTCCTGTAAAGAATTGCTTTTGTCTTCAAAAGTTCTTAAATTTCTCTCCTTCCAGACTGTCCACCATATGCACGCATGAACCAATCGCCACCATTTCTTCTGTTTCACTATATCCCCATTATAATTCCAACACTTCAACAGTTCACAGGTGTTAGCTGGCATGCTCCATTTAAAAGCGACTTGTATTAAGCCTATATGTATAAATCTATGTGAATCCCTATAAGTGGGGAATAATATTCTCGTCCAAATGGGAAATCAAAAACTAATAGCTGCTAATATAGCAGGAGGTAATACCGACCACCCTTTATATAAATGGATTTTATACAATCCAGAAAAGATGAAGGTACATCATCCAATATGCCAACTTATTCCTCAGTTATATCAGAGGAAAGCAATGAAAACCTTGAGGTTTATAACCAAAAGGACACAAAAGAGTTAATAATTCTTTTGGAGCAGTCCGACCTTAAATGGAAGGATAACCCATGGCAATTAATGGTCAGGTACTTTGATACAACGTCATACGCTACTCCTGCTTATAAATACAGGATGCATTACGAGATAATACTCTCAACCACAGGATCAGCTGAAATCCAACATTTCTATCATGCAAATACAAGAAAAACTTATAGTTTTTCAAAGATAAATATAAAGAAGGTAATACCTTCAGATGAATGAGGAATTAGTACCCTTAAGGATCGAGAATACACTCATCCTGACCAGAAAGTCTCAGTTAAATTTAATTATTGGGACTATGTGGAAAGTTTTAATTAAACTTTTCTTTACGAGAATCCTAATAGAAGACACTCATGGTTTGTCAAGCTCTGTTCTAATATGAACAATCAGCAAGTTCCAAATTGGTTCTTTAAATGGTGGAAGTTATATGGTCCATCACTAGAAATACTTCCTCCTATGTTCAAAAGTTTATATACTCAATGGGTAGATATATCTCCCAAAAATCAATTCACTACAGAAAGATAATATCTTCTATGATGGCATAGCAGCCATGTACTTCTTTATAGAATTCTCAATTCCATGGATAATGACATGGGATGTTCAAACTGGTTATACCGAAGAAGGAATTCCTTGCCTTCAGAGAATTGTTTATAATAAGTTTTGGACTAAGCTAGTCCAGCCAGATCATCAAGGAAAGATTTATGGGGAAGATTTAATAAATCAAATCAAGGCCAAGATTAAAGAATATAAAGACCAAGAGGTAACAAATATTGATGAAAGAGAATTAAGCCCCTTCCAGCAAGTTACCAGAAAGCTCCAAATATAAAAGGAGCTATATCCAAAAAGGAAATTCTCGCTTCATAAAGAAAGATTTAGCCAAGAATTTTGAAACAGAAATTGGAGATGATATATCAATGACCTCCATTGGAAATACTTCAGATGAAGAAGTCTGTGCAGCAGGTGAAGCACAAAGCAACTCTGGCACAGAAGTGAATATTGATAAAATTGAGGACTTCCTTGCAAAATTGAAGGAAAGTGCCGAAGAATCTTCGGGGGAAAAAGACAACAAGGGAAAGAACAAGGCTTGAATTATTGAAGGCCCCACAAATCAATTATCGTGGTAATAGAGACAAACAACTTTAATAAAGAAGCGGATCCCTCCATTATCACAAGGAATCTACTTTTATAAAGTAGTATGTTCGTTAGCAATTATAAGTGCTTTTAGTAAAGTACTTGCAAAATAATACTTGCTTTAGTAATATTAGTAGTGAAGTCTTTATTAATAACAGTATCAGAATTTTCTAATTTGAAAATTCTTTCATCTAAGGCTATATTTGAAGCCTTTAATTCCGAGACTTCTTTTTTGAGATGATTTATCTCAATAGACAAGTCTTGGACCGTAGCCGGTCTATTAGACTGGGACTTATTCTTAATAAGCCTTCTGATTTCAGACATAGTGTAAGCCCTTTTTGAGATGAAATTCTTTCCACCTCTGTTCCTACCTCTGAATTCGTAGGAAATTTATCAATAATTTGGGGCCTTAATTCAGGATCTTTAATAACCCTTAATAGTTCTAGCATGCTATCATTGGTCAAGACATTAATTTTCAAGTCTGTGAATTGAGAGTAAATATTAAAAATATTATCGTCAATATTACAACAATGATTTGAGCATTGTCCCATATTACTGAACTCTTGCTCATCCTCGGAAGATGAAATATAAATTTCTTCCTGAAGGACTCGTAAGTCTTCACTTGTTGACGAACCCTCTTCATCAGTGTCAGATATTTCTGGTGAAGAATTTAAAAGGATTTTATATAACGAATCTTTGATATTATCGTCTAAATCAAGGTCTTTGATTTTGTCCTTGATTTTGCAATCCTTTGCATAATGGCCTATTCGTCCACATTTATAGCCGGCCTGAGGGTTTTTTGATTTAATAAAACCCTTTCTGGCTTTATGAAAAGCCTTTTTTCTTTGGGTCCGTTCATAACGTTTTCCAGTCGAACACTTTTTCTCTTGTAGATAATTACTATATCAAAGGTCCAAGCTTGCACATGGGATCTAAGGAGGATGACCTTTTAAAGCATTTTTCCTTTACAAGGTAGATGACCCAAACATTGTAGACCTACAGCAGTGCCAGTAGTAGCAGATAGAATGCCTAGGAAGTTTTAGCATTTGTTGATACCGTAGCAGGTCACTTTTTTGTTTGACCGGTTCCATATCAGCGCTATAATATGTTTGTTGAGTATGAATTTGTGTTCCTATTTGCCATTAGCTTGCGATTTCAACTAGATGGTGAACAACAATTTGTGGCTGACTACAACTTGCTGCAATGATTGATCACTTGAACATTGATGTGATGTGGATTTGGATTTGTTAAAGTAGTGTTGATAAATACACATTTCTCCCTAATATATTGCACTCTCAACCTGGAATTCCACATTAAGTACAGTTATTTACACATTATAGTACTGTTATAAGTTGCTTGTATTTTACTGGCAGAATAACCTAGTACATCCCCTTGTTGCAGGAAGTACAGCAACGCAAGCATTGCAGTTATATATGGCTCCCCCAGTTATAACAGGGTTACAACAACCATTCACTATGCCAAGCATTCCTATTACACAGGCGTCTTTTCCTGTTATACGGCCTATGCAAATCCCAGGATCTAATGGATTTTTGCCTAACAAGTTTGCATGAATATACTTCTGTAGTTGAAATATGCTGCCTGTTGAGATTCTTTTTTCGTCTGTTCTCAATCGCTGGCAGGGTGATTCTTTTCTAAAGATTCCGGTCTTACTGTATGAGCAGGTTATTCTTTATTAGTAGGGAGAGGCATTAACATTGTATATTGAGTTACACAGAGAGTTGCTTTTGTTTGAAGGTAAAGGAGGACTTCACTCGGGGGTTCTTGTTTTGATGGTGATACAAAGGAGACAGATTTCCAGTTTTGAACTGCAGGAAAACAAATTTTTGGGTGTCAAGATCGCACTTTTTTTATGATTCATACAGCTTAAATGTCAGATGTTAAATTGGAATTGAAATATACAGTGACGTGATAGCTCCTTGTTAAATTTTGATCACTATTCTAGTCCATTTTGCCATGTGTTTTGGTTATCCATCATGTAATAGTTTGGTTGCTAAGCTTTGATCATTATTTTAGTGTATTTTGCGATGTGTTTTGGTTATCAAACATGTCAAGTCCACATTTCATTTTTAGGGTCAAGCTAGATTTTGGTCAAAGAAATTTCTTGGATTCAATTTTAAATATTACTGTGATGCACAGGTCCCCAAACTATAACATGTTCCTTCGTGAGTATTGACTGGTAATTAAGTAAAATTTTAAGACGAATTAAAAGAATAAATTAATTGCCCCGGTGAATCAAAGCGACAGTCTCCGAGCGAGTGCTAAATTAGCTCGGTGAATTTAGACCTGCTATTAATGTTGATTCATCTATAGTCGCACTGGACCAGTCACTCAAAAAGAAAGCTATGAAACAGGTTTGTGCTAGTACAAAACCAGAATTTCTAATATCAAGTGGCTACCTTTGCTCAATGTGGTTCCAACCTAGACATAGCCACATGGTATAATTATTCAATAGAATTGCAAGGCAGACACGTATGGAGATGAGATATACCATTATAAACAGTTCCCATAAGCGTTTAGTAATATGCAAGCTTCTATTCCAGAGTTTATAAACATAAAAAGATAGGCTTTCTGGAATCCTGGAGCTGCTTCCCATTTTATGGTCTTTTTGCATTCGCCATTTGACTAATTCATAGGCAAGGACCACAGGTGCAATTTCAGAAGGTAATTAAATAACTCTAGTAGCACTATACAATCTGCCAGATCTACTGAACACTAGTCTCCTCTTTACTGCTATCAGTTTTTGGAATCGTTGTCACAGCAATACCAGATTCTCCAGCACGAAGCAGCTGGTTCTCCATCAGATTTTCCTGCACAGCCTTCATGTAGGAACAAATTTCAGAACCTACACAGATCTCTATTGACATAGTAAACTTCTAGAGCTCGAAATGGTTATTGAAGTTTTGGTTACTTTACCTGTAAAAGTTCAGTCATCCTGCCAGTCCCATAATTCATCAACGGCTTTGAAACAGATATAGCCTGGGTACGAAGAGGGGGATTTACAGGTTCAGTTGGTTCTGCCGACGGAACCTGATTCATGTCACGAATATCTCGTCCGGGTAGTACATGCGACTGTTCTGCTTCATGAGAGGCCTTATCAACTCTCGTATCTGTTTTTGCTGGCGGGGCAGATCCTTGAGACCCCTTGGTCACTTCAACAGGTATATTAATGTTGGTTGATACAATTGGTTTCACCTCTTCCCGTTGCACACCTTCTGCTCCCTTGCTATGAGCGCCATCCCCTTTCTGCCTAGCACATATTGCCACTTTGTCGCTGACTTGAGTTTGTGAAGGAAGTGTTTCATGAGTTGGTATCGGTGGTACCTGACTACAGGTTACTGATGCGTCAGGCGGCAGCATAGCTAATGGCGCAACCATCTGGACCTCTCTTTCTCTTGCAGACTCCATATTAGAAGCTTGGGGTCCATGATTTTGACTAGATGATAATCCATTTGTTAAATTGACAGGTTGTAGCACAACAGGAACTACTGTGCCTCTGGCACCCACTGGAGGGACTGAAGGATGTACCACTACCTGTTTGGTTTTCGAGGACCTAGATCCAAGATTAAGCGATCCATTCCATTCAGCCCTTTGTCCATACACTTGGAGTTGGTTTTCAGCGGGAGGACGGGCCTCGTTTCTTCTAATCATCTGAACATGTGGGGCTACATCATTTGCTGCTGTGACAGGAACATAATGACCTGGCTTAAAAACAACACCCCTGTAGTTCGTATTGGAGTCGCCAATTCTAACACTGAGCAAATAACCAGCATCAAATGCAGCCTCAACCACACCTGTAACAGCCTGACCTATCATCCCATCATTTCTATTTGCTTGCTGTGGTTGGATCTCTTGCACTAGCTCAAAACGTGGAGGAACTTGAGGTTGACCTACACGCTTTAGGCTAGGATCCTTACGAGGACGACCCCTTCTTCGCTTCAAAGGAAGGGCAATAGGCACGGTGGAGCTGTTCCCTTGAACAGCTTGGCTCATTTTCACGGAATTAGGGTCTAATGTCTGCCGTTCGCAAGTCTTCTGCAGTACCTGCCAGCAGATCAGTTTACTCTTTCAACTCAGTCAAGTTACAGAGAAAATAAATTATGGTACATTTGAACTTTCGACAAAAGTAAACTGGGTGTCCCATCATAGTGTTTTGATTCTAGAACAGTACTTTGTGGTCGCTTACACTGGAAAAAAAGGGGACATTCAGTTCTGGGAGGACTGCACAATTCACAATACTTTGCAGAATTTGGGCCCATAGTTGGAAGTGGATTGTAAAAAATGGATGAACATAAACAGTTAATTAACTGGTAGTAATAGAAATGGAGTACAGGTTTTTGATAAGTAAGCATCTACAGATTCTATATAAGATAAATTAACAGAAGATAGATTAACCTTGTCTAGATATCTTCAAATAGCAGAGGAGAGGAGATGAAGATTAGTTGCTCAATGGTGAATATGGCCCTAAGTTAGATAAGATAAATGGATGAGCTGAACCACCAAATAAGACTCAGTTGACCAGGGTGGAAAGGGAGATAGGGAGCGGAGTGATGAGCCAAAAAAGACAACTACTATCAGAGCAATCAACTAAAAGCTCAGCTACATCATATCCGTGAAAACATGACATCCATTCTTCCGCAATATTAAGAATATAAGAAGACACTACAATACAGCACAATAGAGTGAGACTAGCCAGTTAGGAGTTAGACTAAGAAGGTCATTGGTCGTCTATTGATGCAGGGCTTTACCTGCTAGTTTTACTATACCAGCCATCTTTTTCGTATTTCGTATTCTGTATTTCATATCTATTGTATCGCTGTTATTTTATTATGCATTTTTATGGTACTAATATATCGGCTTCTGTTGTTTTTTGAGCCGAGGGTCTCCTAGAAACAGCCTCTCTACCCTTCGGGGTAGGGGTAAGGTCTGCGTACATATTACCCTCCCCAAACCCCACGTGTGGGATTATACTGGGTTGTTGTTATTGTTGTTGTTGTTGTTGTAAGAAGACACTACAAGTACCTCGCAAAATTGCTGATAAATACTGCAAAACCATTCCCATACAATCACTAGCCACATCCAGAAACTTCTCCAATTAATCCTCTAAGATAATCAATAGCAAGTACTTCCTCCATTCCATTTTATGTGACAACGACACCTTTTTATACATGAAAACAATTTAAGTTTAAACTTCCTATTTTACCCTTTAAAGACATGATTTTATAGCCGCAAGAATGTCATGGCTTGATCAAGCCTACAAGTTCCAAAGGTATTTCTTCCTTAAACTTCGTGCTAGTCAAACAAGTTCCTTTCTTAAATTTCGTGCTTAGTCAAATAGGTTCGCAAATAATAAATCAGAGAGACAGTAAATTCTCAAGACAAGGAAGACGAATAGAGGCTCTAGAAGCTCCTAAAAGATTTACTTGTCTAAAAATGAGGAAAAATCAATCCTTAACCTGAGAAAATTTCTAATTTAAGCACGTATACCACATCATACAACGATTACTTAGTCGTATACGTAGCATCGCACAAACGCCCAGTGAGTTTACATGAACGCATATAAACAGGTTGAACTAAACCGAAAAAAAGTTAATTTCCACAAACTTCGTTACTGAGTGTGAACCATGCCAGCATATAATACACAAAAAATCCAAAATTTGACAGAAAATTAAAAATAAAAGCTATTATAACCTCAAAAAACAAAAGAGGAAGCTAGAAATCACCAGAGTATATCTGAAGCACAAATTCGAAATCAAATTCTCCGGAAATTTCCCAAAAAAATAAAAACAGAAAAGAAAAGCAAAGAAAAACCGTACCTCTAGTACTTGCTACTTGCACGGAGGTGGCTTCAGACTGGTGCAGCGAATAAATTCGGAGCCCTAAGATTTTGTTGAGTAGATTTAGAGAATGAGATTTAGATAATTCCGATAATTAATTAGTGTAATCTGCTGCTATTACTACTCCTTATTTAGCGGGGTCCTCGGGTGGCGTCGTTTAGGGGCTTTGGTGTTTTTGTATTTAACACGTGGCATTTAATGATATTTTTTGTTTTTGGACTGCTGGTAAAAGATAGAATAAGAGCAAAGTTCATTTATAGTCATTCGGCCCAAACTTTTAACACCCAGTAGCCCAAAATTACAATATTCATTTTATAGCCCAAAAGTAATTCAAGTGGCTAGCCCAAAAACTTAACTAAGAGGCTCAGATCTGCAAAAGACAGATCGCGGAAAGATAGGCGACCACGCCATGGCTGTAAAGACAACCCTCACCGCCGATCCTCGTAGATGCTCCGCCGCTTCAATCATCGCCATCATCGACTGTTTCAAACCATCAATTATAGTTTCCAATTTCGAAGCTTCCCCAATTTGTGTCACCAATTTGATGTTGCTGCTTCTATTTTCTTCTGCTTCTTCATTGAAAACACCATATGAGGCCGAGACATCGGCATAAACATGAGTAAGAAGATGGAGACGCGTCATCGGATGGATGTTCTCCGACCGAACTCCGGCAAAGTTTTTTTACTGTTTTTGGGACTGATGAGAATGGTTGTTTTGTGGAGGAGAGAGGCTATGGAGTAAAGAATAGAAAGAAACAAATTGAAGGATATGATGATATATATTCATACATCTTATATGATGATATATATTCAGGTTTTGGTTGAGATCCAAAAAAATGGAAGTCAAACCAATCTGGAATTTTCTAAAATGGACCGCAAGCTTATACCAAGAATGCAAGTTTCATATGTGGTCACACTCTCAACTCTCTAGCTGGAAATCAGACATTTCATTTCAGCTGTAATAATTTTCATGTTCATGGTCTATATATTTGTAACTTTTACTACTTTAAGTCTTACCTCGGCAACATGTATAGTTGTTTGTCGATATGAGACCTTAATGGCCTTTTAATTTCTACATGTTATGGTCACTAGTCATGGAAATCTTTTATATTGCGCAAGTTCAATTCTGCTCAATATCAAAGAGAACACTTGGTAGAGAGTTCAAAACTTCAAT